GGATTGAGGATTGAACTCAGGACCTTGCACTTGTGAGGCAGGCAGAGGGGTTGCTGCCTTCCTTCTTAAACATCAAGTTCAGATTATAGGAGGGAGACAAAATGAAAACCCAAGGAACTAGAGTATAGTTACTTACTTCTGAAACCCCTAAATAGGCTCCATTGGCAAGGGATCACAAGATTGGTTATGCCCAAAGCAGGCTGTAAGAAGTGCAGGCTGTGAAGAGTTAACCTCACATTTGGCTTGTTTATAGAAAAAAGTCCAGCTGGGGTCAGAGTTACTCACTCCCAAATTTCATTCTCACAATTAGCTTTCTTAACTAGTACAATGTTCTAATTACAACCACACAATTTGTCTATTCTGTTCCAAATTCAAGAATGTTTTGTCATGTCCTTTACAAGACTTTCTTGTATTAATTTCCATGGAAACTGCATGATTTCATGTTCCTGCCCTTAGTCCCACCCTCACAATAAGCTCACCTTTACCCTGATTGATTACTGATAAAAAAAAATCAATGAGTTAGACAAACTAACCCCTTTGCCCTTGCTAATTAGGCAGCATTGGCCATCCTGGCTCCCTGGTTTATTTTTCTCTTTAATTCTATCTTTTGGTTTGGTTTGGTTTGGTTTTCCTTCAGCCTTGTGTCATACACTGAGCAGGAGACTGGAGACTACTGGAGACATTTCTGGTAATGTTTCAGGGGTTCCTTCTACCCTTTCCATCTTTCCAAGCTATCTACTGTTTCTTTTTTATGTATAATGTCCAGAGATACTAATCTGTACTTAGCTGGCAGAATAAGTAAAATGTGTCTATTCTGTCTTTCCTGTTCTCTATTTTAACTCAGAAACCTTCCCAAGTATCAAAATTCTGTGATTTTATTTTTCTTAATTTGAAAGGCAATGATCAACTTTTACATTTAACCTATTCTGCTAATTTGGATCGGCAGTAATAGCTTTCTGGATTTATATTATGGTGCAAAGAGTCACCATCTTTTACTACCAGAGAAACAAAAGTAGAAACACTAACACTCTTTAACAACACATTAAGCAAACAATCCAACCCCTTATTGCAGGTATTCTGAAAGTTGTTGCTGCTTAAGCCTTTCATATTCAAAATATCCACATTAATATGTCTTAGTTAAGACAACTTGTGCATGTATCATCACACAGATATATTATTAAATCAATTTGTAGCAATGCATTATTTCTAGAAAATAAAAATAAAAGAGAAAACATTTCTTCTATTTGACAAAATGAAATGGCAAATATACTATTAAATTTGTTTCAGTTTCCTTGTCTCCAATAGAAATCTGGAAAGAAAATTCTTGTGTTGTGATTCCCTAGCAGCTGGCTTTTTTGCAAAGCAAGTATTGCTTAATTCCTAAGATCAACAGGGCTAGTATTTGAGAATTATTTTTTCCAATATTTTAATAATCACAGCTGGGCTTACTCATGGACAGAGAAAGGGCAAAAAAGGAAAGCTTCCTAGAATTTGTGTCATCATCAAATATATCATTCCTGAGGGTGACTACAATTCCTAAATGCCATTATTTGTATTCTGCAGATAAACTTCATAATTAGCAAGATGTTGAGCTCTGTTGAGAAATTATATTCATAGAAAATTAATAGCTGGTTGAAATAGATACTGAACAAATTCCCTATATAGACTTGTTTGGAATTTTTAAAATGTAATAGAGACTAAGTATATAGGATACAGCAACATATTTAATGTATTTTTAAAACCTAAGGGCCTTTTTACTATGTTAAACTAATAGAGGGAAATAGTTCAAAGAACAATTTTTAAAACAGAAAAAATATTACATGCATTATACCATACTGATTCTATTCAAATATTTCATATTAATATAGTCTTTTAGAGAACTGTATATCTTCAGGCTGATTTTTATCTTGATAAATGACATTTCATCTTGGGATGTAAAAACTTTAATTTAATCAAATATAGACATTTCTACGTGTTTTATAACAATATAAATAGTAAAAATATGTAGTATAATAAAATTATAATAGAAGAATCACAGCACAGTTTTGACTCTCTTTTAATCAGGAGTACACCCACTAAGGCATACATACTGTTAATGATTTCAAGTAAGGGCTGATACTCTATAACATGTAAAATATTCTAAATCTTATAATGAATCATTTGATCCATTTAAAATTGCTATCAGATTTTAATATCATCTTTTACACCCACATGCAGATGATTGTTATCTAATTCTTTTTTTTATTTTAAATTTTATTGAGTTTATTGGTACATTTTAGGGATACAGTACAGTTACATTCATTGTTGGGATCATGTACCTTTACATGGCAAGTCTTGATTCTCATTTTTTCCCCTTACCTCTGCCCTCCCTTCACCCCCTCCTCCCCTCCCCATCTACAAACACTTTATTTTCATCTTTTCATTCTCTCTTGTTATCTAATTCTTAATGTTACCAAAGTTACCATAAAAATGGAACAAAATTAAGCAACAGATGTTCACAGAATGATTAAAGAATGATAGCACTGTTTGACCAAAAGAATAAAAAAATTCATGAGAAAGATAGATGAATACGTTAGCTTGAGACACAATATACCATATAAACTAGGAGGTAAAATACAAATATCAATATTCAATAAGTTTTTGTGATCAAGATTCTTTTTTTTTTTTTTTTGGTACCAGGGATTGAACTCGGGTCCTTGCGCTTGCAAGGCAGGCCACCAAACACTGAGCTAAATCACCAGCCCGTGATCAAGATTCTTTAAAGCAAAAAACGTTCAAATTTACTAGTGCATATAACTCATATGCAAATTAATAACAACTACCTCCAAAAGTTTCTCTTACTTTCAAAATTTTACTTTGATAAAAATCTGTGTAATCATATTCTCATTCTATTTTTCTTAAAATTGCAGATGTGGTATCTGTGCCTTGGTGTGAAGAACAAAAGTTGAATGGAAATACCACCATGGAAGCACAAAACTTTACACAGTTGCACTCAATGCAATTTCTAACTTAGGTTCATAATTTATAAACATGCCATATACTTTTATTTATGATATCCCTAGAGTAAGAGTAGAATTTTTTCACTGTAGGAAATCTGCTTATTCACTGTCAGTCCCTATTTTCCCTTTTAAGTTTATTTTTCTGTAAAGTCATATTTTCAAGTTTTTAAACATTTGGCAGTATGTTATGGCTCAGGTACCATATCTAAACCTTAAAATAGATTATTATGTTGAACATAGACTATTTGCTGCTAGTGAATGTTTTCAGTCTGGTGGAGAAAAAAAATCAAATAACTATAAGACATTGTAATAACTGCAATATCAACAATGTAAATCAAATGGCAAGAAAACCAGCAGGAAAAAATTTTTCAGAGAACATTAGAAATGTTTTAAGGAGTAAGTAATATTTTTAACAGAATCTTAAAGAATGAACACAATTTGATAATAAGATAAAGAACAGAGCATGCTGAGGGAAAAGCCCAGATCAGGGCATAAAGACCTAAAGAATCTCTGAGCATAAATATTGAAATTGGAATATTTCAGTATGTTAAGGTTGATGGCAAGTGTTTGCATAGGTAAAATTTGGCTGTATTGTGAATTTTCTCTGAATGATTATTCTATTTTGTAAACTATCAGGCACAAAAATATCAACCCCTTTTACCTCAAAGTTTCCCAATAAAAAGTTCTTCTCCCCACAATTCGAAGATATCTGGCAGAAAAAATAAATATGGCTCATTCTGTGAAATGCTTTTCATTAGACTTGTCCTTCAACAGTACTGTAATTCTTTCAAGCTGGCCATATTACTTGGGCTTGGTATTGTAGATAAATATGATTTCTCCGAAGGGCAGTAAAATGGACCATTAAAAACTTAGTGGAATTTAGTTTTTCAGTGTAATTGACTGCCCACAGAGGGATCATAATGGATTTGGGTTATGATTCTGGCCCATTTTGATGCAAATGAAAAGGAGCAAAAGTATACAGGTATGGAATGCCATTCATCAGGGAAGACCTGAGCAGAAAACCAAAATAGTTTTTTTGCAATCAACTAAGAGGCACTATGAAGTTTCTTAATTATCAAAACTGAGGAGATTACTAATGCAGTGATTTACAGGTGCTGAGCCTAAATATAATGCAACTATGTCAGATGACTCCAGGCTATCCCAGAAGGAAAGCCAAGCAAAAAGCTGACTTTACTTTGGTTTGCTATCAGTGCATTAGACAAGAAGTGCAAAAGTTTAATATAACAAAGTATTCATTTAACTTTAATGTTTGAATGTCCATGTTTTCTACAGTGTAAGTCTGATGGCCATCTACGTGTAAATGCCTATATACGGAGTTGGGCATGGGTATAGGCATAAGATGTTCTAATATTTCAAGTACTTCAGCATTTCAGCATTAGTACATTTTGAGAGTTAAGAAGTGTTGATCAAATCATAAAAATCTTTGACAATCTTGATGGTAATTAAAAAATTATTTCATGTAACCTACCATTCAAAGATATAGTCATTTTATTTTTCTCTATCTATGTAGAAATGGATAATTTGAGGGTTAAAATTTCAGAAGAGACAAAACTAAAATGTAAGCTCATGTCTTATTTCAACATCTAAATGTTTAGATTTTTTAATAAATTATAATGACTCCAGTAGTGGTCATGGGTTTTCCCACAGTGACAAGATACTTAACCAAAAATAGTCTCTTAATAGTTGTCCTGATTTTTAGTCAATATTTTAATTTCCTTTAATTTTAATTTCATAGTAGAGCATCAACAACATAAAAATCACTTATCAAATCAGCTAAGTTGTGTCTCTAAGCCATCTAAACACTTCTGGAATGAATTTCACTGCCACCTCATCTTCCAAGGTAGTGGTCTGGGCCCATTCTTGATTAGTCACATGGGATTTGTCTATAGAAGTTTATTAAATTTTTTGCTACATCCAAAGTATTAGAACCTATGGGATTTTGTGTAAAATTACATAAGCAGCTGAAGGAATAGTAGCTCATACCATATATTCCATTTTAGTTTTTATCAGAAATAATTAGATCATTTTAAGACTGAATTTCAAAGCTAGTCATTAGAAGAAGGCATGGAGCAAGTTAGAAGAGAAGAATGAATGGTATGCTACTCTTAGGGATAAGGTAAGTATGCTTTTGAAATTCTATCCATAAAATGTTCAAATTTGAATACAGATTCAGAAGTTCCAGGAAAGCAATAAGACAATCAACCTGAAAACTAGTGATTAAATGAGTTGCTCATTTTCTGCTTTGGTGCCTACACTGATAAATAATCCCTGAAAGCTAGCAGACTCTATATTGGGTGACTTTTTGAGTGTCCCAGAACAAGAACTCAGCCTTCTCAAGTCAGACTATTCTAGCTTCATTTCTTGAAATATATTCTCTGGTTCAATCTGTACACACATACTTCCTTAACTACCTTATCTAGGATGCATCCCACAACAGGTGGTATAGACTAACATCAATATAGATTCATATAAGAGAATACAAAGAAAACTTCAAGCTCTTTTGAGGGATTACCTTCATTAGCTGGTTCTACGCTGATTTTTGTAAAAAATGGGCAATGCAAAATTTCTTTTGTCAAAACAACAACAACAACAACAACATCAGATCCTTAATAAAATGCATGGGTGTATAATAAATGGAAGACTTATTGTTTGGTGAAGTGGATGTATATATTTGAAATGGGAAAGAAGGTCATATCAGAGACAGTAAGATGTAACAATTCAACTATGAGACTGAATCAAAACACCTGAAGAACACACATTTTTTGTACTAAATATCTTTTCTTTCTCTTATTCCAACTGTGAGATGAAGAATTTGGAGTTTGTGACCTTCTTATTTATTTCAATAATTCTTAGATAGCAAACCAAAAATATGACAGCAGCAGTGACAATATTGCATATATTTTGCATTAAATTTCTTGCTTGATGTATAAAGTCCAATATCTTCTCATAATAAAGATCAAAACAAAATCTGAAGGCTGGAGAGCAGTAGACTCATAGGAAATAGTGAAGGTTTTATTTCACTCATAAACTGCATAAGCATGTAACTTTCAAAAATTAATTATAGTAAAGTAAAAGTGACGTTGGAACCATCAAAAATATGCTTTTAAAAACTTTCTTTCCCAGTAGAGATGTGGAAAAGTTAATTCCAATCCTCGAAGCACAAGATATCCAAGAATAGAAAACTTATTTGACCCAGCCATCCCTCTGTTGGGCATCTTTCCAAAAGAATTAAAAGAATCATACCACAGTGATATATATGCACCCATGTTTATAGCGGCACAGTTTGTAATAGCTAAAACTTGGAAACAGCCCATCTACCCATTAGTTGGAAACTGGATAAAGATGTGGTTTTTCTATAAAATGGAATACTACTCAGCCAAGGAATACTACAGCCATAAAGAATGAGAAAGTAGATTCATTCATACGTAAATGGGTACATTTTGAGGATATACTCCTAAGTGAAATAAATAAGTCATACATGTGCAGATACCAAATAGTTTCTCTGGTGTGAAAAACTAAAATAGTACTCAAGATCATAATGGGACAATTAGCAACATGAAATAGGAAGAGAAGGACCAAAGGTGTAGGGACAGTGAGAAGGATAGGGAAAGGGGAATAAGGGAAAAGGAAAAAAATATGAGAAAATGTAAAAATAGAATAAAGTGTTAGAAGGTGGGGAGGGGAGGAAGGGGTGAAGGGAGGGTGGGCAAAAGGGGAAAAATGAGAACCAAGACCTGGCATATAAAGGTACGAGATCCCAGTAATGAATGTAACTGTACTGTCTACCTAGAACGTACCAATAAATTCCATTTAAAATAAAATATAAAAAGAATAGAAAACTTCAGTAGAGGACAGGCATTTTTGATAAAATTCACTTTTTTGGCAGTCATTAGAAAGTATGAGGGAAATGATAGAATTCACCTTCTTATATCCTTGTTTCAAGTGACTTAAGTGGGAACAGGTGTTTGGACCTTATCACATGTAAATGACCCTTTGCAAACACCTGCCAACTGAAACCCTGCGTGATGATTTGATTTTTCTAGCAAAGCTTATTTTAAAAGTGAGAATATATCTGGTGTGTTTCAGCTTATCTAACTCTATATAGATTTTCACCAGGTGTATATGAGAAAAAAAGGGCCAGGCACACATTAATGCACAAGTAGACTCTGGGGTCATTGAACATCTCTTCATAAAAGTATCAAATTGTCTTCAAAAGTATATAAAGAGCAGTTCCTGTATATATGTATAAAGCATTCTTAAATGTACTTTCTTTTTATAAGGAAAGGAAATAAATGTTTTTAATAGTAAAATTAAAGCTAGTAATTTTGATAAGGAGGAGATTCCTAGAGAAAAGAAGTTTGTCTTTTGTGTGTAATGTTTTCATAATTAATTATAAGAAAAATAAGTTTCATTGTGATGTTTTCATACATATATCATATCCACCCTTGCTATGACCTGTGACGGCATACATAGTCCTTTTGCCCATTCTTAGAATACTTGTTCCTCCCTCTGTGCCTTTTCCCCTACACTAATAGCCCTCTATCTCCTTTCTTCTTTTTTCCATCATAGCTTCCACATATGACAGAAAATATGTAATTCTTCTTTTTTTTTTTAGTTTGCCATATTTTGTTTGACATGATGATCATCAGTTACCTGAAAAGGATATGATTTTACCAACCTTATGGATAAATTATATATATATATATATTCATATGTTAATTGACTTCTACACTAAATCCATAACTCAGCTAATGTAAATGCTGCCATCATAAATGCAGGTATGCATGTATGCATGTTGTGTCCTGACTTTGACTTTGATCCTTTGGAATTTTCCCAGCAGTGCTATTGCTGGATCATATAGTAGCTCTATTTGTCATTTGCTGAGGCATCTCCATACTATTTTCTGTGGTGGCTATATAAATTTGCATTCCCACTAACATTGTATAAGAACAGCTTTACCTGACCTTCTTGCTGGCATTTGCCATTATGTGCTTTGACAATAAACATTCTGTGTGAGCTGGAGTCTAAAGGCAATTTTGATTTCATTTCTCCACTTGCAAAGATATTAAAATAATTTATTGGTCATTTGTAGCTCATTTTCTAAAGAGTAGCTGTTCAGAACATTTGCCTATTTATTGATTAGAGTTTTTTTCTATTGCTATTAAATTATTTGAGGTCTTTCTATATTCTGAATTAATCTCAGGTAAATTGCTGGCAAATATTCTAACCCAACCTATAGGATTTCTCTTCATTATGTTGATTGTGCTGAAGATTTTTTGATGTAATCCCATATTTTCAATTTTGCCTATCTTTTCCTAAACTACTGAAATATTAGTCTGCTCTATACCAGTATGTGAAAGTATTTCCTATGTTTTTCTCTAACAGTTTTAAAGTTTCAGGTCATATCGTAAGGCTTTTAATCTATTTTCATTTGATTTTTTGTATAGGATGAAAGATGTGAATTAGTTTCAGTCTTCTGTGTGTTGATGCCCAGTTTTCTAGAACCATGTATTGAAGGGGCTATCTCTTCTCCACCATGGATTTCTGGCTCCTTTGTCAAAATCGTATAGCTAAATCATCCTCAGTGAAGGAAAGATAACCTCTTCAATAAATTGTGTTGGAAAAACTGGATTTCAACCTACCAAAGATTAAAACTAGAACCTTATCTTTCACCATGCACTAAACTAAAATCAAAGTGGATAAAAGATCTAAATATTAAAATACTGAACTTGCTAGAAGATAAGTTAGGAAGAACTCTTGAAGACATTGGCACAGGAAAATACTTTATGAACAAATCCTCAGCAGGACAGGAATTAGTACAAGGAATCAACAACTGGGATCTCATCTCATTAAAAATCTTCTGCACTGCAAAAGAAACCATCAACAGAGTTAAGAGACAACCTACAATGTGGGAAAAAATTTTAACAGCTGCTCCTCAGACAAAGGACTATTATCTAGAATATATAAAGAACTGAAAACAATCAGCCCTCCAAATATAAAGACCAGATTCAAAAATGGGCATCTGAAATGAACAGACATTTCTCAGACAAAGAAGTAAAAGCAGCAAGTAAATATATGAAAAGATGTTCCACATCACTGGTCATTTGAGAGATTCAGATGAAAACAACACTGAGATTCCACCTCACCCCACAAAGAATGGCTGCTATCAAGAAATCACACAATAACAAATGTTGGCGGGGTTGTGGGGAGAAAGGAACCCTTCTCTATTGTTGGTGGGAGTGCAGATTGACTATGGAAATCAACATGGAGATACCTCAAAGAGCTGGGACTAGAGGTTCCATTTGACCTATCCATCCCTTTGCTGGGTATCTTTCCAAAAGAATTAAAAGAATCATACCACAGTGATATATGTGCACCCATGTTTACAGAGGGCACAGTTTGTAATAGCTACAACTTGGAAACAGCTCTAATTCACATCAACTGGAGACTGGATAAAGAGTTGTTTTCCTATAATATAGAGTATTATTCAGCTATAAATTATGAGAAACTAAAAACATTTATAGCTAAATGGATGCACACGAGTCTATACTCAAGTGAATTAAATAGGACACACTTGAGTAAATACCGAATAGTTTCTTTGTAAGTAAGTGTAAATAAGGTTCAAATAGTATAATTGGGAGTGTGAAATAGGAAGAAAATGGCTAGAGGGGAAATGGGAAGTTGAGCAGAAAGGAAATAAGGGAAAAGAAAAAATGTGAAAAAAGTAAAAAAAAATGGAAACATCTTTGTAAATAGGGAAGGGTGGGTGAAGGGAGGGCAGGGGTATGGGGAAAATCAAGAACCAAGACATATGTAAAGGTACAAGATCCCAGTGATTAATGTAACTGTA